GGACAGCTTCCCCCAGTTTATGTACTGAGCATGACGTCACATGGTATGGAATGTCCCTTTGGCCAGTTTGGGTCAGCTGTCCTGGCTGTGCCCCCTCCCAGCTTCTTGTGCACCTCCAGCCTGCTCAGTCGGTAGAGCATGGGAAGCTGAAAAGTCCCCGATTTAGTGTAAGCACTACTTAGCAACAACTAAAACATCGGTGTGTTATCAACATCATTCTCATCCTAAATCCAAAACACAGCACTGTACCAGCTACCAGGAAGGAAATTAACTCTATCCCTGCCGAAACCAGGACAGCAAATAAAGCACAGAGTTTAAATGTCTATGCTGACGTGAAGCAGAAGGTCTGATTGCCATGAACTAAGCCTGTAGCGCAGGCCTGCGAGGCCATAACCAGGACACCAGTTTTCTTCTACAAATTCCTACTAAGAGGCCTAATCCAGCCGTTCTGTGTGAAACTCTCTAGATTCGATTGGGTAAAGAACTACAGCAGCAGAGCATTATAGTTATTTAGACACTGCAAAGATGAGTATTTGCTGCCATGTACTGCAGAGAGCGCTAGTTTGTTAAGAGAGCAGGGTACCGAAACCCATTGTGAGTCTGGTTCCCTGAAAGCAATTGGTTGATTTCTGTCCTTGTTGGAATTCAAATTGTTCCTTTTGTGCGCTTTTTTAATCGCAAAAACCAAAATGATCTTGTTTTCCAGAGAATGAAAAGCTAAAGTATATAAAAAGGTGACGCGAGCGTCTTCTAGAGCCATGTGTTATTCTTGAGCCATGCATAATATCTGGTGCTACTAATAAGACCGTGTTTGCAAAATGATACTATAACCATCAGGTAATAACAAACTAATCTGTGCCTATGGGTATATAATGTTCCCTGGCTGAGGGTGAGCTCCTGAAGTTGACAACCTGTTGGGTAATTAAGAACAGATGTGCCTCTGCCCCACCCCCCACCCCTTTCAAACTCCAAATTTTCTGGCCTTACCCTTTTCCTGATTTCAGTTAGCTGGTTTGACTGCTGTCAAACCCACGTGTGTTGGGCTTGCGTAATGCCGCAGAGCATACAGGCCAGGCAGACGCTGTCCCAGGTCAGGAATGAAAATTCCCGACTGACATCATTTGCCCTGCTCGCAATACATCTCTAATGAAATTCCAACAGGGCAGCATGTCTCCCAAGGATGCATGCAGCTTAGCAGATGCAGCCTGAGCCACAGCTGGACTCATTCACAGATTTGGCAGTTTGGAGTCAGCTTGACATTTTCTCCTCCCGATGCTCCTCTCGCCCCCACCCCGCTTCTCCCTTCCTAAAAGAAAATCTCTGCCTGCTTTTCATGACCGTGTGCTCAGCTTGACATTTTTTCCTCCCGACGCTCCTCTCGGCCCCCCCCCGCTTCTCCCTTCCTAAAAGAAAATCTCTGCCTGCTTTTCATGACCGTGTGCTGGACAGAGCGTAGGCAGCCCACAGGCAGTGGCCCAAGTCACCCACCTCGTGCAGGGCATTGTGCCAGTTCAGTACTCCGAGGGGGATTTTGGTTTTCTGAGAAGCACACGCCTTCGGATTTTACTCTAGTCACAGTTAAATTCCCCCTGGCAGAAGCAGAGTTACACCAAAGCTGGTTATCCTCAAGAGTGCACCTGAAGGGCCAGGGGCAGTGTATTGAAGACAGACTTCAAGTCAGTGCGGAGGATGTTCTTATTGTATGATACCTGTATCAAACAGAGATACGTCTTTTATCATACAATGACAGACTGTATCTGGGCTATTCCTGCCGACAGCAATACTTGAAATCAGTTCTGTACAACTTAGCATTTTAATGGTACAGATTCCACATCTGAAGGGAAGGGTTTCCAATGAGACCTTAACACGGCATATTCGGAGACCTGTTTTTAATTCCAGTACTACTGGCAATGGGAAGTAGGGTCTCAATAGATGTTTTACCGTTTGATGTCTGATCAGCAGGCTCAGGAGATCTGTTTGGCTCCCAGTTATTTTTGTGGAGAGTGCTGCACTGCAGCTGAGTGAGGAAACAAGTGTGGATGCTACCGAAGCTTTCACTTCCCTTTGCAGGCAGAAATGATACAGGAATCTGAATTGTTTACCAATCTAAGACATTTTTGAAATCCCTGTCAACTGCTGCTGAGGAGTATAGGTATTCTTGAATTCAAAACAAACAGAAATGTTTTTATTGAGATCAGCTACCTAGATGTAATGTCTCTGTAACCATGCTGGGAAACCTACAGTCATTAAGAGGATGCTGCCACAAGCTTTGCGTTTGTATTTTAAACAAAGTATCACCACACCCCTGCATCTCATTCATGTGATAAGCTATGATAGTAAACTTAAACAGCAACAGGGGAAAAAGATCAGGCTCCGTATAATGTCTGCGTTTAAAAGGGACTTGGATCCTGAGTTTACTTGGGAAAACTCTGAGTCTCTCAGAGGATAAACAGAAGAAAGGGATGTTCAGGATTGGCACCGTTTGTTGCTCAGCCTTCCTGCAGGCAAAATAGGTTCCTCATGAGAAGAAGAAAAAACACTCAAATTATGTCTAACACGTACATAAAGAATAGCTGAATGCTCCCCAGTGAATCCTTTTCAATTCTGTGTCAAATGGTTCCAGTTCTCTCTTGAGACTAGATTCAACAACATGACATGGAAAAAGTTCATTCTGATCCATTTCCGTTGGAATTCAAGGAACAGCTGTCTCCATGAGAAAGAAGGAAAATACAGCTGACATTAGTCGTGAGCTATGTTGCCGTAAGTAGGGACAGGTTAGACATCCGTGTGTATTGCCAGCAGAATTGGAAGCAGTTACTCCTAAATGTACTAACATGCTACACAGACGATACAGCGAGCCAGAATCTCACAGTTATTCCTCTGCTTTTTGCTTGCAAGGTCATTAAGGCTTGCACCTCAGGTAGGTAGATATCTAACCCTTAAGACTGATTTTTCCAAAAGGAAATCATCTCTCGTTGCGGCAAAACTGCCAATTGCACATTTGGTCCAAATGATCTTATTCCGTATATTTCTCAGTGGCATCTGACTGAGCCTATTGAACTGTGTGATTCCTAGGTTCTATGTGTAAGAAGAGCTCTAAAAAGCATTGTTAAAGTTTCACTCTTACAAAACCAAAAGTCTTTGGCTAAAAACTGCATCCTGTGCATCTTTCATGCTCGCCTATCTTTCGTACGGATACTTGGATTTGGAGGGGTTTGAGGGTTCAGAGGTAAAACTTAGTATTTTTCATTTCTATGAATATGTTCATTTTTATTTTTATGAGTATATTAATGTATTCTGGTTTTGTGAACAAATACGGTTACCTCACTGGTCAGATTCACTTCTTGTTCATATCAAACCAAAGCGTGTTCCTATTTACATGAGTATAAATCCAGGAAACTTTGTCCTTTGGAGAAAAATGTCACCTTAATGTGAGGAACAACTGACAAGGGATTTGGGGGCTCAGTTACTCAGCAACGTCACTGATGTTGTATACTACAGATGAGAAGTGATTTGGCATGGAAGAATAAGCAAAACAACTTAACGTTGCAGAAGAGCAAACCGGAACAATTAGCATCGTGGCATAAAGTACTTCCGTTCTCTCATCTGTACGCATCTTATCTGCTTTTGTTTTTCCTGACGCACTTGGCGTTCCACCGGTCAAACTTCCCAGCCTACAAGTTACGTTTCTTCTGCTCCCCTAATGACTCAGCCTGCTAGCACATTGACTGCCTCCCTCCCAGCCGAACAGGTTTTATGACTAAATTGCAGCCCACGTCTAACTTAATTGACTCAGAAGAGACTACCTCGATGTACAGGTACACCTTGCTGCAAGGTCTGCTGCTTGGGCATTCTCCTGGGAAGGCACGTCCCACAGAGCGCCTGAGGCCCGGTCCCCAGCAGGACGCTCGAGCTGAAAGCGGTGAAGCGGCACTCGCACCCAGTGGCCAAAAGAACCAGACCAGATTCGCATTCCCTGCTGTTGGCTCAGGGCAGCTACGGTTACAACTGGAAATGGTCAAGTAGAAGACAGATTTTACAGCTATTCAGCTGTGGGGTCTCTCCAGGGCCCTTCTTCAAAAAACCAGTTTTGTTCTAGAGTATGTGGGTCTATTCTAACATGGGTGTAGTTACATTTTCTGCTGTATCTTTCTCTTGCAGGCCTTGAAGCCGTCCAACCATGCCACCATCCAGAGCATAGTGAGAGCCGTCGGGGTCATCCCGGGCATTCCCGAGCCTTGCTGCGTTCCTGACAAAATGTCTTCTCTTAGTATCTTATTCTTCGACGAAAATAAAAACGTGGTTCTTAAGGTGTACCCCAACATGACAGTGGAATCCTGTGCGTGCAGATAACATCTCGGGAGACCCTTT